GTGAGTGTTTACAGTCTTGCTGGAATGGATGAATGTCACCATTTGGATGAAAGGTCCGCCTCAATTTACCTAAACCCACGATGATGATAAAGTGTAATATTCTACATTTCCTGTAGTGTTTTCATCAGCTTATCCAAAATCCCATTTATTTTCCTATATTTATTGCATTCTTTGCTGAACTTCATAAATATTGGCCGATATATTGAATTCAAGTTGTGACATTTTTTTCTTCCACACATTCCTTTATTTGGTACCTGGAGCCAATCTACAAGAGGAAATAAAGCGCTCTCACATAACATATTTGCACAGGAAACCAGTGTACTGTTCACAGGAATTGTTCCTCATACTGCATGTGCAGCAAGACGAGGGCTCAGAGTGGGCGCTTTTGTTGCCAAAGCTGGGCAGTGCCAGGCAAAGCCGCACGGTGGAGATTGCTGGAAGGTAAGTTTGTTACCAGGTCGGCTGCACTCAGGGGGCTGGGATTAATTAATTGACAATCGTACTAAAGGTAGAGCTCTGCTTCAAAGGTTACTTGTGACAAGAGATAATAAAGACTACCACTGCTAACCTCATTTACATTTACTATATGCCGGTCTGTCTCTGGCACATAACAGGTATACCGCGAGGGAAGTCAAACATACAATCTTCATACTTGCTCTGCACACCTCCTGAACAGATACACAGATGTGCCTCAAACACCAGGACCCAATACAAGCCACAACTGTGCATTTTCCAGGGCCACCCACGTACGAACGTTCCACACACATGAATGGGATGCTGCTTCTGCAGTACAGGTTCTCCCATGCAAGTCTACAGGACAATAGTGCGCAGGCAGCCCAACACTAGATGTTTACCTGCCAGGCAGCAGACATCACGGGGAAGGGGGGGGGGCAGACTTGGACTGAATTGCCCATGCTGTATGGCCTCAAAACCTGGGCCTGTGTCGCCAGACCTCCTTGTATAAAGTTGCATTGCTTGTACGGTGTCAAGGTGCCCTATTCATATCACAATGCAGAAATCATAGCGTAGTGCATCTTAGTGCCTCTAATGCGTCTCCCAGACACTAGAATAATGGACAGAAAAGAACATGGGGTGCAGTATTTTCCTTAGACAAAGGCCAAATTCCTGCTCCGGAGACAGCTCCAGTTGAAAAAACGTGTCCACAAAAATCTCCAGAGAAGGAAAATCATAAGAGTCGTGGTGCCGTGTGCCACCAATAAATATCTACCAGGAGCCTTAGTGAAGAGCCAGTAGGGAGTCGGACACCGAGTACAATCTTCATTGAAGTCTCACACAAGCGAAGTATTTCCACAAGATCAGCTTTAGACTCACAAAGTTCTAAGACAGATTT